TTGGTGTGCTGCACCCATCAACTCGTCATTTACATCAGGTATAACTCCCAATGCAATCCCTCCCCCCTCCCCCCTCCCCATGATAGGCCCCGGTGTGTGATGTTCCCCTTCCCGAGTCCAGGTGATCTCATTGTTCAGTTCCCACCTATGAGTGAGAACATGCGGTGTTTGGTTTTCTGTTCTAAGAATGATGGTTTCCAGCTGCATCCATGTCCCTACAAAGGACACAAACTCATCCTTTTTTATGGCTGCATAGTATTCCATGGTGTATATTACTTTCTTACTTTATTTTTCAGCTGCTGTAAAAAGGGATTGAGCTCTTGATTTGATTCTCAGCTTGGTTGTTGTTGGTGTATAGCAGTGATACTGACTTGTATACATTGATTTTGTAACCTGATCCTTTACTGAATTCATTCATCAAATCTAAGATTATTTGGAGGAGTCTTTAGGATTTTCTAGATATACAATCATCTCATCTGCAAACAGCGATAGTTTGACTTCCTCCTTTCCAATTTGGATGCCCTTTATTTTTCTCTTGCCTAATTAACTCTGGCTAGAACTTCCAGAACTATGTTGAACAGGAGTGGTGAAAGTGGGAATCCTTGTCTTGTTCCTGTTCTAATGGGGAATGCTTTCAACTTTTCCCCATTCAGGATGATGTTGGCTGTAGGTTTGTTATATATGGCTTTTATTACTTTGAGGTTGGTCCCTTCTATATCTAGCTTGTTGAGAGTTTTTATCATAAAGGGATGCTGGATTTCAAATGCTTTCTCTGCATCTATTAGATGATCATATGTTTATGTGATGTGTTACATTTACTGACTTGTGTATGTTAAACCATCCCTGCTAGGTAAATATTTGAGATTTGTTGACCAGCAGATCATCTCTTTGTCCTTTTCAACTGCTCAAGCCTTTAAAATGGGCCTGGAGTGATAGCTGCACTATGAAAAGCACTGTGTACATCATAAGATGGCTTAACAAACGCGTTTTCATTCCTGTCTTGGGCCTTGCTCAGGCAGTAATCCCAGCTGAGTGTAATCCCAGCTACTCGGGAGGCTGAGGCGGGAGAATTGCATGAACCCAGGAGGTGGAGGTTGCAGTGAGCGCAAGAATGGTGGCAGTTGCACGTGCAGGCCGTGGGCACTGAGCTAGACTCCATCTCAAAAAAAAAAAAAAAAAAAAAAAAAAAAAAAGATTCCCAGCAAAAGATCTGGAGCTGATTTTACTGGTTCAACAAGAGTCATGTGTTCAACTGGAACCAATCTTGTGGCCAGGAGGCCTGCAGAGCTCTGATAGGCCAGGCTAGAGACGCCTGTCTCTCTGATGATCATGTGCTCTGGTTTGTAGGAGAGGTCTAAGTTTGTGCCTGTTGTCTTCTTGGGTGGTTTAGCAGTTTACCCTGATTTCTTATTTTTAATAAATGTTATTATAGTGACATTAAAAATACATGGAAATGGGTTTGGTAGACTCTACTTTGTATTTCCACCTTTTGCCATAGACGACTCCGGTCATATGAGAAGAAAAATATGTAGTGAAGATGCTTGAGTTTAGTCGTAGTTAAATCTAAAGTCATCCAGCCATGATGACTCTCCTTGTCTGGACTCTGGCATAAAATAACTAATACCTGTCCTCAAGGGCAGTAAGCTGGATGCTTAGGAAGAGCAGCTTGGGCTGCAAATTCTTTGGTCTTGGGTGGTAGTAACATTATATTCTCTATGCTGTGCACTCGTTTCCTCCATATGGCTCGCGATTATGATAGAAATAATCTGAATGTTCTTGCCACAGTGCTTTTGTCATTACTGTGGTGAAATCTGCAACTGTTTGTTTCATTATTTAGTAATATTTTTTCTATTTGCAATGACTTTTATATTATTTAACATCAGTGAATAAAAAACGTGCTGTTTGTTGTGAAAAATTAACGCACGAATTTAATTTCTCAAGAAAGCTGATGATAGGCTGATGCAGTGGCTCATGCCTGTATCCTAGCATTTTGGGAGGCCAGCAGGTGATCACTTGAGATCGGAGTTCAGATCAGCTTGGCCAACATGGTGAACCCCGCTCCACTAAATACAAAAATTGATGGCGTGGTGGCACGTGCCTGTTAAACCGGCTACTCAGGCAGGCTGAGCACGGGAATTACTGGGAACTTGGAAGGTGAAGTCAGTGGGCCGAATTGCACCACTGGGTTCAGCCTGGGAACTGAGGAGACGCGTCTCGAAAAAACAAACAAAACAACAACAAAAACCATAAAAAACCAAAAACAAAGAAACCAAAAAACCCACAAGAAAGTTGATGATAAAGGTTAACTTGTACAAGATATTTATTGACTTTATCATAGCTTTATCATAGGTATGGAAGAGGGCGTAATATTATCGCTGACCACTTGAAAACTAGAAGGCCCAAGTCTATGGGAGCATCAGGATCTACTTCCAGTGTTGGTAGTTATTTTAAGATTGTGACTTACAATGATAAATTAACACGTGCCATGGCCATAGGTGCTTTTGTCTATCCCTCTGCGAATCACGACTCTTCCTTTTTTTTTTTTTTTTTGAGACAAGAGCCTTGCTCTGTCGCCCAGGTTGGAGTGCAGTGGCATGATCTTGGCTCACTGCAAGCTCTGCTTCCCGGGTTCATGCCATTCTCCTGCCTCAGCCTCCTGAGTAGCTGGGACCACATGTGCCCGCCACCACACCTGGCTAATTTTGTTTTTGTATTTTTAGTAGAGATGGGGTTTCACAGTGTTAGCCAGGATGGTCTTGATCTCCTGACCTTGTGATCCACCTGCCTTGGCTTCCCAAAATGCTGGGATTACAGGTATGAGCCACCACACCTGGCTGAATTATGACTCTTCTTCTAGATCAAGTGACTGCTCTTCTAAATTCAGTTTGCTCATTGTTTATACCAAGTTTTCTTGTGCAATACAAAAAGTAATACGATAGCTGTTAGTGTGTTGTCTTCATTAAAAAGAAATTTGCAGACAGTTAAATGGGTGCCAGCTTTATATCCATGTTCTGAGATGGTTCAGATAGAAAAGTTAACTTCTAGAATTAGTTAATATCTATAAGGGTTTACATTGTTCACCCAATTATTGAAAACAAACTAAATTTGGAAATTTGTTCTATTAATGGTGAAACATTTGACATTATTATGGATGTTGTAGATTAAGTTAGAAAGATCAACATTGAAGATAAAATTATTTAGGGTAATAAATACATTTACAATTTTTGGAAAAACATGATGTCAGGGTAAAACAACTTTTTAAAACTAAATTTGAAACCTATCAAGGAAAATTGTACATGGAATTGGTTGTACTATACACATAATTCAGAAATGCATCCGAATAGGCTGTGATATTCTATGGATCAAAATAGAGCTTTCCTGTCAATTGTATATAATTTTTAAACATATGCATAATGACAAAACTGCAAAATTTTTGTAATTAAGCTGATGTTGGATGTAAAGAAATCTCTTCAGGCTGCTGGAATTTGAGAAGCCTTTTATAATACTTGGGCCCCTTCTTAAGCCATAGCTCAGCAGAGAGGCCATGTTCAGTTCGAGCACCAAGATCGTGAATCCCAGCTGCGAGAAGCTGCATATGTTCGAGAGTAGCTCTTCCAGGCACTTCTGAAGCTGGAGATGAACCTCAGGCTCAGCTCAGGGAGCTGAATATCATGGCAGCCAAGTAAATTGAAGTTGGTGGTGGTCAGAAAGCTATCATCATCTTTATTACTGTTCCTCAACTGAGTGTTTCTAGAAAATCCACATTTGGCTAGTACATGAACTGGAGAAAAAGTTCAGTGGGGAAGAATGTTGTTTTTATTATTCAGAGGAGAATTCTGCCTAAGGCAACTCAAAAAAGCCATGCAAAAAATAAGTAAAAGCGTCCCAGGAGTCGTACTCCGACAGCGATGCATATTCCCCTCCTTGAGGACTTGGTTTTCCCAAGTGAAATTGTGCACAAGAGAATCTGCATGAAACTGCATGGCAGCCGGCTCATGAAGGTTCATTCAGACAAACACAGCAGAGCACTGTGGAACACAGAGTTGAGACTTTTTCTGGTGTCTATAAGAAGCTCACTGGCAAGGATGTTAATTTTGAATTCCAAGAGTTTTCAGTTGTAAACAAAAAAGACTAAAGTATATCCACAGTAAACAAACAAAAAAACCAAAAAAACTCCTCTTCAGCCTGGCATACTTTTTTCCTTACTACTTATCAACAATTAGATATGGGAAATATTTAAATCTACAGACAAGAGAGTCTATTGAAGCTTTCAACCAGTGTCATAGTGCATGCAGTTTTATGAAAATATTAAAAATGATCATTAATTCTTCAGAAAATACGCTTAACATTGTACTAGAGACAGATATGGTTAAGAAACTGATTGGGCCGGGCATGGTGGCTCACATCTGTAATCCCAGCACTTTGGGAGTCCAAGATGGGAGGACTGCTTGAGCTGAGGAGCTCTAGACCAGCCTGGGAAACATAGTGAGATCCCATCTCTATATATACACACACACAGTTAGCCGAATGTGGTGGTATGCACCTGTAGTCTCAGCTATTCGGGAGGCTGAGGTGGGAGGAATGCTTGAGACTAAGATTGAGGCTGCAGTGAGTCATGATCGGGCCCCTGCAGTCCAGCCTGGGTAACAGAGTGAGATCTTGTATCGAAAAAAAAAAAAAAAGAGATTGAAATACCTAATGATGTATGAAGAATAATTATTTTGCTTGTTATTTTTAATGTTCAGAAAATCAATATAAATAAAATTTGATGTCCCTCTTCCCCACCTCATATTTTGCTCTAATGGTTGTGCATGTTTTATTTCTTGGAAAAAATGTATTTTTGAAAATAGTTTTTGAAGAGGACTATTTCATAGGCCCGTCCGTTTAATAAAATCAATTTATTGGTCACTACATAGTTCAAAAATTACATAATTATAATTTTAAAAACATTTATTCTCACAATGCCGTAATTTTGAAGATAAATTATATGCTCATTCTAGGGATGAGAGTGATCAGTTCCACTGGTTATCTACAAGCTGACAGTGAGGCATGAGGAACTCTGCAAAGGGAAGTAAAGATGATGGAATGGATGCTGGGCAGACAAGACCAACTGTGACTACTGGTACCCAAGTACCAGATCAGAACTGGGGTTTTCTTACCTACCTGCGATGATCGAATACTGAATTTCATTTTCCATTCTCCCTGATAACTTTTAAGTTATAACATTCCTTCCCCTTGCCCCTTGGTTCACCACCTCCTCCATGCAGCTCCAAACAGTGCAGCTTCCCAGCTTCCCTTAATCCCCTGATAGAAGCCGAGAGACAGTTCTTTTTAAACATTTCTAAAAGCTGCAACATGCTCATGTCTGAATTCCCTGCAAAACAAATTCAGAAGGCTGAAATCATTGTTCTCAGCAAATTGGGTGAAAATGGAGCAAAGGCAGAAGCTTTCAAACAAAGCCTCAGGAAAAATGAGAAGAGACTGTAGAATACTGAGTATGTAAGTAGAACTCTGTATTTCACACACTTCTCCCAGTATCCAACCCTGAAGCTTGTGTGTTTCTTTTTTGTTTTTGTTTTTGTTTTTTTTTTCATAGTTGTAGTTGCCAAAGCAAAGCAATCACTCCATTAATTATAAAGTAAGGGAAAAAATGGGTATCGATCTTAACTAGTTCCCTTTTACTTGTTGAGTATTAATTGAAAGTTATTCTTCTGAAGACACTTAATTCTTTGGAGGCACTGTAGAAAATAATGTTTAAATATTCATTCAGAGTTAAGTGAACTCAGTCAAGCTTTTATAAACAGGATATTTTAAAATTGGAACTGGATTTTATGTAAGTGACAAAATGATTTCTGAGTTCTCTTTAGTTCTCATGGTACAAGAACTCACTTGCTGATGTGCATGTCTAGGGTGGTCAGAGTATTTGTCCAATTGGTGCGAAGACAATGTGCTGCTCCCTTACCCAGAAATGCCCCTTGTAAAAGCAACATCCATTCATTCATTTATTGATTGATTCAGTCACTCCTGGGCACTGGGATCTTGACTGTAATACTGTTGGACACCAATTGAGATCTAAAAATTATCTGGGTATAAGAATAATTTTTGGCTAATGCTCATATAATGCTGACTATATACAATATATTGTTTGGAATGCTTTATGCACATTAACTCATTTAATACTCAACAGATTATTAGAGGGATACAATCATCATCATCTCCACTTTACAGTAGAGGAAACTGAGGTATAGACAAGAGAAATAACTTGCCCAGGTCACTCATCTGGTGAGCAGCACAAGATTTGGACCCAGGCAACCTAGCTTTGGAGTCTGTGCTCCTGACTGCTACTTTATAGTGTGGCTATTAAAAATATTTTTTTTTGTTTACAGTAACATGTAAGGTGTCCTTTGGTGACTATAAAATAGTTCAGTTGAGAATGTCTGTACTCACACATTGGAATAATAACTGGATACAGCTAGTATAAGCATACTTTCGTGCAAGAGATATGATACAGTGGGCCTTTGATATTTATCTACAATTCATTTTTTAAAAAATTGGTAAAAACCTTTATGTAGAAACAGCTAAATCTGTTCAGTTCAGTTCTGGATTGTGTTACTATTACTTTTACCTTTTTAGTGGGTTTCATGTATGTTTAAAAGTAAGGAATACCAGGTGTGCTATCTAAGCTCCACCACTAAATTATAAAACCTACAAAGCAAAATTGTACTTAGAATTGTTTGTACAATGGGGATTATAGTAAAATGTGCTAAAAAATCAGTAACGTGGGGGTATCTCTCATCTTTGCAGGGTCTTGTGAGGGTTATAAGATACCATAGTCTCTTGACTTCAGGGCATTCTACAGCCTATTTCTTGATGTAATTTGGTGCCTAATGTAGTGTCTGTTTCATCACAGAAGTGTAAAGGACATCAGTTGAATGTGAATGAAAGCGCCTGGCACATACTAAATTTCACTGGCTCTGAGAGCAATTTTTTGTATTTTAACTTCGGGATATGTCTCACAGTCAATAGAATGTTACAATAGATGTCAGCCAAATGGCTGTTGAGATGTAGTTGTCATTGCTCATAAAGCTGTGGACTTGGTCTTTATTCCAAGGTCTTTCAAGGAATGCATGTAAATGCAGGTTTGTGTTTGAAAACTTTCCATTGATACCTCTTGGTAAAGGTAGTTTCAGCACCAAGACTTGCAGGATGGGTGTCAGTGGTTCCAAATAATACCTTCAGAGACGGTAGTGCAGCACTCTTTCAAGAAATGCTATATTATCACTGCATTTGATGGCACAGAGTGTGATATCATATGGGAAAAGAAAAAATAGACATTACCCAGTCTGAGTCAAAAAGAGATTTAGCAGAGTTTAACACAGATTTAAAGCATTTTAATTAATACCGTAGATAATTTATTTTACATATATATTACTTTTTGTGCACAAGAATGGTACATAAAAGTATTTAGATGAGTCTACAAAGCTCGTTAAAATAAAATGATGAATGGTTAGTGTATTAGTTTGCTTTCACACTGCTATAAAGAACTGGCCGGGTGCGGTGGCTCACACCTGTAATCCTAGCACTTTGGGAGGCTGAGATGAGTGGATCACTTGAGGTAATGAGTTCCCATCTCTACTAAAAATACAAAAAAATTAGGTGGGTGTGGTGGCATGTGCCTGTAATCCCAGCTACTCAGGAGGCTGAGGCAGGAGAATTGCTTGAATCTGGGAGGTGGAGGTTAGTGTGAGCCAAGATCACGCCACTGCACTCCAGTGTGGTGACAGAGTGAGACTCCATCTCAAAAAAAAAAAAAAAAAAAAAGAACTACCCAAGACAGGGTAATTTATAAAGAAAAGAGCTGTAAATGACTCACAATTCTGCAGGCTGTACAGGAAGCATCGTTGGGGGGCCCTCAGGAAACTTACAATCAAGGCAGAAAGTGAAGGGGAAGCAAGCACCTTCTTCACATGGTGGCAGGAGAGAGACAGTGAAGGGGGAGGTGCTACACATTTTAAACAATCAGATCTCGTGAGAATTCACTCAGTATCATGAGAACAGCAAGGGGGAAATCTGCCTCCATGATCCATTCACCTCCCACCAGGTCTCTTTCTCAACACTAGGAATTACAATTGTCATGAGATTTGGGTGTCCATATCATATCATTTTGCCTCTGGCCCTTTCCAAATCTCATGTCTTTCTCACATTTTAAAACACAATCATGCCTTCTCAGCAGTCCCACAGAGTCTTAACTCATTCCAGCCTTAACTCAAAAGTCCAAGTCCAAAGTCTCATCTGAGACAAGGCAAGTGCCTTCTGCCTATGAGCCTGTAAAATAAAAAACAAGTTAATTACTTTTGAGATACAATGGGGTACAGGTATTGGGTAAATAGACCCATTCCAAGAGGGGGAAATCAATACTTAAATTTAATCCTCAATGTTGGAGGAGGGGCCTGGTGGGAGGTGATTGGATCATGGGGGTGTACCTCCCCCTTGTTGTTCTCATGATTATGAGTGAGTTCTCATGAGATCTGGTTGTTTAAAAGCATGTAGCACTTCCTTCTTTGCTCTCTCTTCCTCCTGCTCCGGTCATGTAAGACATGCCGCTTTCCCCTTCACCTTCTGCCATGATTGTAAGTTTCCTGACCCCTCCCCAGCCATGCTTCCTGGACAGCCTGTGGAACTGAATCAATAAAACCTCTTTTCTTCATAGATTTCCCAGTCTCAGGTAGTTCTTTAAAGCAGTATGAAAATGAACCAATACAGAAAATTCGTATCAGAGAAGTGGGGCATTGCTATAAATTAAATTACATTCAGTCTCTCAGTGGCACTAGTCCCATTTCAAGAGCTCAGTAACCACATGTGGCTAGTGGCTACCACATTAATTGGCTCAGACACAGATCATTTCCGTTACCACAGAAAGTTCTTTTGGACAGCCCTGGTCCAGGTTCTTATTGCTTCTCAGTGACAGGGACTTCTCCTAAGTGATCTCCAGGCCAGCCTCTTAGATATGCCTTCCTTGATCATTCCATAGATACTTAACTGCACATCTGCCACATGCCAGTCATTGGGAGATATGACAATGGGCAGAGCAGGCAGGGGCCACCCTCACCGTTCCTCCAGTCTCCAGCCTCAACACCTGCCCTACAGGCCATAGTCTACTAGTTTCCTGAGGGATTTGTTTTAAGATACAAATCTGAATGTGTTTCTCCAGGAGCACCTTTGTCCCCCACAAAATATAGATGGTCCCCGACTTGTGATGGTTTAACTTATTTTTTTTTTTTGTCTTTATGATGATGTGAAAGCAATACGCATTCAGTAGAAACCATACTTGGAGTACCCATACAATCATTCTGTTTTTCCCTTTCAGTGTAGTAGTTAGTCAATTATATGAGCTATCCAACAATTTATTATAAAAATAGGCTTTGTGTTTCATGATTTTGCCCAACTGTAGGCTGCTGTAAGTGTTCTAAGCATGTTTTAGGTAGGCTAGGTTAAGCTGTAATGTTGGATATTTTCACTTGGTGATGAGTTTATTGAGATGCAATCCCACTGTAAGTTGAGGAGCATCTGTAACCTCATTGCTCCTTAGCATACACCAAGATTCCCTAAGATCTGGCTCCCACCTTCATCTCTAGTCTGAAGGCTCATGGAGTGTCTGCTGCCAGGGGTACCCCTAGGTGCTGTGACTATAGTCACCTGCATGTTGGAGGCCTCTTCTGCAGCTTTGCTCTCCCAGGCACTGAGAGCCAGGACTCAGGACCTGTGGCAGCATTTTTCAGGGAACTCTCCAGCTGTGCAGTTCTCCTTCTGTATCTTGGCTAATTCCAACTCATCCTTCAAGATCTGGCTTAGATGACACCTTCTCTAGCACTTTTGCATGACTCCCTGATATATACTAGGCTCTTTTTCTTCCATGCTCCTGTAGCACCTTGCACCAGCCTGTATTCTGAGGCTTTAAATGCCAACTGTTCAACCAACATGAGTGTCTGCTGTGGGCCACATACCCTACTAAGCTCTGTGAGTGCAAAACCAAATGAGACTGCTACCTGCCCGCTCCAAGCTCAGCATTTACAGAGGGAGACAGTCCACTCCACTAAATATAAAACAGAATGTGACCCAAATGTTATTAGAAGGAGCACAAAGCAGAGAGGTAATGCAGTCAAGAGAGGTGGTTTGGATTGGGGTAATGGGTCATGGAAGGCTTCTACCTAAGCATGGTGTCTGTGTTACATAGTTGAAGAATAAATGAATAATAATAATAGCCAATAGGTATTGAGCACATATTATATGTCCAGCCCTGCCTGTGCTAAGTGGCTTTCCATGCATTCTATCACTTATTCCTCATAACTACATGTGACTTATGTATATTGATACCATTTTGTAGATGAGGAGATTGAGGCTTAAGAAACTTGACCATAGTCACCTTAGCTAGTAAGTTGAAGCAACATTTGAATCTAGGAGGACCGTCTGACTCTAAAGTGTGATATCACCATGTCAAAATTCTGCCTTTTATGCATGCAGTAGGATTTTGTAGAATGAATAGGAGTTTCTCATGTGGACAACAAGGGTGATGGACATTCAAGGTGGAGGTATTCTAAAGGTGATGCTCAGAGAGGTTAATTAATTTGCCCACTATCACACAGTGGGAATTGAGAGTTTGAGCATGTTTCAGAGAACTTATTAAATGCCGAGGCTGGATATGATGAAATGGAAGAAATTTTTTAAATCCCCTTTTTCTCTTCCACTTGCTACATAAAAATGAAAAGACTATTGATTGGGAGGGCAGAATGTGCAGTTAGTAATGAGATTCCCTCTGAAAATCCTTTAAAGTCTCCATAATTAATTTATTTGAGAGGTGAAACAAACTGTGCATGTGAAATGTGTTAAAATTATGAACAGGTTGCACTGGGTCCACTGCCTGAGGCTGCCTGGCCTGATGAAGGGCACCGGGATTCATGTCCGCACATCATCCTTGCAATCAATTATTGATCACAGCTGGGGTTCGAGCAGTTGTCTCAGCCACTGCAGCTCAGTTATGCTGCAGCTTCTGAGTCCATTCTGGTCCTGCCTGGCTGAGCCATGAGCAAGGAAGTCTGGAGAAAAGAGTGGGATCCCTTCTAGTCCCACTGATGTTGAATTCAAGAAGAGGCTAAATGAATATGTGCTGATACAAGTCAACATAGTGTTATCTGGGTGGATGGAGTGTTGGCTGGGAATGGGAGTCTCTTCGGGGAACTTTCCAGAGAGATGGAAATAGTCTGTACCTTGATCTGAGTAGGCATTCCTCCCAACGGTGCCAATGCTGTGAACTGCATCTCTGTGGCCTCCCTGAGGGAATGAGGACCTGCGGCACATCCCCAGTCCTGCTAAATCCTTGGAACTCTCATTTTTCCAAGTCAGAGTAAGCCTGTCACCAAAAGACTGGAATTAGAATTTCTTTCAATGCTGAGATATAAATTAAGAAAAATATTATGTCTGCATGTCACAACAAAAGTCATACAAGTGACAACGGTTTTGCAAAACATTTTTACCTCTGTCATTATTTAACCTTGACAACAATCCTATGAGTGAAGGATTAGCATTCTCATTCGACAGATCTAGAGCCAATGAAAGCTTGAAGAGGTTAGTAGCTGAGATAATTCTGAAATGCAGGAGACTTGACTCCAAATCTGTTGCTCGCTTTCCTAAATCTGGTGTCGAGGACATCCTCTGAGGGGAAAAGAATTGCCCAAAGGTATCCCATGGGAAATTATCTTCATACAATGCTAACTCCAAGACCAGCTATCACAAAGCTCATGTAACTGAAAGGCTCAAGGACCAAGACGCTTGAATCACATAGTTTAGTATATTAACTTAAAACACACAGTTTGAAGCCAGAAGAGTGAGGTGGGTAGTTAATGGACATAGGAGAGGGTGCAAACAGGGAAAAATGGCCACGCTTCCTGCACCCTGGAATATGCAGAACTCCATCTAATATTCTTGCCACCAGAGATTGGCTCAACCGGCCCAATCATTTCTTCTAGCTTCATGTCAACAGCTGGTCCCTATTAGGCCCCTATAGTGATCAGCTGGTCCCTATTAGGCCCCTATAGTGATCATCTCATCCAGTGGCCTTCAATCCTGCCTACACATTAGAATCACCTGGAGAGCTCTTAGAATTTGTCAATGCCTCATTCTTCTCCCAGAACAATGAAATCAGAATCGATATGGGTAGAGTTCAGACACCTGTATTTTGTAAAAGTTCTTCAATGATTCTGATTTACAGCCAGAGGTGAGAACCAACAATTTAGATTTTAGGATAGCAAATAGATGTCATTTCAGATGCTAACTCCAACTAACTGATAGTAGTAAGAGAAGGACCACGAGCTGCCGTGTGGGCTCAGAGAGAGAAAGTGCAGTGGGCAATGCAGAGCCTCAACTCTCTGCTACATGAGTCTTCCTGCTGATGGTTAGGTTACAAGATCAGAGTTGAGGTTGAACAAGGAGCTTGGCACGTGAAAAGTGCCTGGGCCAACACAGTGAACTTGTTCTATTGGGAG